TATATAAGAAACTTTCATTTTCAATTAATGTTGAATGTGATCATTATTATATGACAGTATGGAYATACTGTAATTTATATCGTATAAGATCGTATAAGTGCTTGCTGTACATAATAAAAAAGTCAGATTAAAAAAAAAAAGGCCCAATGCCTGACAGATACAATATTACTCGTGTGTTGTGTATTTGGTCTTCATTCAGAATTCTGCAGAAAAAAGGTGCGTTTCAAGGTATCATACTTTGGAATGCTACTGGTGAAATTAAGGAGTAGGGTAGTAGCTAACTCCACCCACCCCGCCCACCCCTTCCGACCAATGAGATTTTAACCTCCAATTCAAATTTAAAATGTTGTCTTTTGATTTATTTATAGTTAAAAGTTAAACAGAAAAATAAAATTGTATAGATTTTTTATCATACAAACTGCAGTTATAATCTTTTTTAACATTATACTTATAAGTTACCTTAAAAAATTATTTATGATTAAGCTGAAATATTATGCTACATTAATTGAATATATGCTACGATTAAGCACTAAACTATACATTTCTATATTTATGATTAATTATATTATGCAAGAAAATTTTAGTACGAAAATTATATATATATATATATAATTATATACCTATGGGGGCTACAGATCGTTTATTAGTAAAAAAAAATAATATAGCTGTAGCTAAAATGAAGTAGGTACAATTATATCGATGAAAAAATACTAAACGATTAAATTTTAAAAGGATTATATTTTGAGTTAAAAACTCATAAATTTGAATAAATTTACATTCATTAAATGTTTTGATATTTGTCAATAACATAAATATAAATATATAATAGTATAGTGTAATTAATGAAATAAAATGTATCTTATACGTTTATAATATAATTAATAAACGTAAAGCTAAATAAAAAAAAAAATTTATGATGATTGCAATTTTAATCGTGAAGAATTATAATATTTTTCGTAATTATTATTTATTTTTATAACAATAACACATTTATCGTAATTGTTTAGTATTGACAAATTCAATAAATGATGTATAATTATTAAGTTAATTATTAAMGTTGTTGACTAACACTGGGTATTGATAGTGTATCGACTGTATMAAACATATCGTAGATATACACTTTATACATTATGTATAATATCAGATATTATCCATAAAATCAAAACATTTCCAATAACTTTTAATAATAATGTATAAATTCATTAATTGCTTGTTGTTAAGTTATCACTAACTGAAATATTAACGGTTTGTTTTTAGGTAGTTTGTTTAGTTCACATTTCTGGGACCATTACAATGATTATCAAGACGTACACCCACACGCCAAAGAGTAAGTACAAACAACGATATTTTTAAAGTGAAAATTAGTAAATATGCAGGTAGCGAAGAATTTGCTTATCAAATTTGGATTGTAAACATTTTAAAATTTGAATGTAAATTGTTACAACTTACATTTTTATTCTGCTACATCTGTTAAATATTAGTATATAATGCGAACTTGTACTAATCCTTTATTATTATTATTATGATAAAAGTCAAATACATAAATACTAATAGAATAGATTTAATTATTTAAAAATGTATTTATAGTTATAATTTGTTAAGACTATACTCGTATATTATTAATACAAAGTAAATAATTAATACCAATCAAACAAACTATTAATGATAAATTTTTCTATGCTGTTATTACTTATTAATTGTTAACTAATTAATCACTAAAGCTATTATTGAGGCTTTCGACCTTTGTTTATTTTTATTGTGTACACCAAATTTCA